TGTAATGATGTGATCACCTGTCTGTCTTTTCTTTCAGGGCTATCACAGGCCGAATCATTACATCGCTACACAAGGTAAGAGCCTCTGTGTGTGTGTGAGAGAGTGTGTGTGTGTGTGTGTGTGTGTGTGAGAGAGAGAGTGGGTGTGTGTGGAGGCAGATGCCCAGAGTCTACTGGGTCTTATTTGGTTAGATTGAATGTGTGTGTGTGTGTGTTGAGCTGCCCTTCACGTCTCCTGAGCGATTAATCAGGTCTGGCTGCGATGGGCGGCACACGGGTGGCATATTAAATAAATGGATTAACAGAAGTGTGTTTGTCACTCGTCTAATCTGGCCTGCTGAGGGCCGGCGGTGGCGGCAGAGACGCGCTCATGGGTTAAAGCTGATGGAGATGCCGTCTCAATCTGCCGGTGTGGTGTGGGGAGTTGCATAATTACCTGTTTATTAGAGCATTGCATGCTGCTCTCCTCCGTGTCTCAATTAAAACACACTTACACACAAAGACACACACGTGCTCGAGGTTTCTCTGCATACTAACACATCCATCACACTCTCTTCCAGTGTCTTAAATATCTTCAAAGGGCTTTACTGCCACAACTGTTTTACAGACAAAATCTGCAATGCATCTTAAATATGCACAATTATATTTTTGGATTATTAACTATATTTTATCTGTTTTAAATGTGTTTTAATATTTGAACTATACATTTAGATATTTTGAGACTTATGATTTTAATTGATTTAAACATATATTCAAAATCTAAAGAGTTTTTAAAACTACCTTTTATAAGTTCAAAAATGTGGGGTTTGTAATATGTTTTAATGTTTTTGAAAGAAAACTCTTCTGCTCGTCTGCTTTTCTGCTCTTCTGTAAATATGTATGTATGTGTGTATGTATCTCTCTCTCTCTCTCTCTCTCTCTCTATATATATATATATATATATATTTGCAGCTTCGAGCAGATCTCTCAGTGGCTCTCAGGTTCTTCTGCGCCTAAGGTTTCATCTGTGCTGCCTGAAGCGTTCCCTCGTCTTCCTCTTCTCTAATTCCCTCTGTCTCTCTGTCACTTCATCATTAAACGTGTAGCATCTTACACTGTGAGGCAGTAACAGCTTTAACGAATGCATGGCATCAGACTGATTTCATAAAGGGCTTCAGGATGGGTTTATGAGCCGACAGGAGCTGGACTTCAGCATCAGGATTCTCTGAGAGCTACAGCCATACATAATTCATCATCTTCATTCTGAGCTTGACATGAGAGACAGACAGACAGGAGTGAAGCATGGGAACAGAAGCGGTCCTGAGCCGCAGCCCTGGGGTCGAGGTGTGAGACGTACTGGGAGAAACCCAGGGCTGATGGGAAATTTTTACCTTTGTGCACTTGTGAGAGAATAATGTATGAACACTGTCACTGTCGAGAGATCTGACCGGATAAAAGACCTTCACTTTACCCAATGAGAAGAAAAGCTTCCTCTTCTGCTGCAGGAGAGAGACGAGTTCAGCTGAAGTATAATGTTGTCATTTACTCAAAAATACTGAAACCTGAACTAATACTGAAAATACTAACCGAAAGATCCGTTTTTATTATTGAAATCAGGAGTGTCAGAATCAGAATGTGTAGTTTGTGCATTAAAAATGTCCGTTAAAACCAGCGCATGCTAAACGATGTTTAACTGGATTGGCGTTTATTGTCTTTAGCATGCTGTGTAAAGTATTTCACTCAGCTCCCTGATCATTTTGATTCAGTTTCAGCGAGTGAAGAGCAAACTGACACTCACTCGCGCAGTGTTGGGTATAGTAACTGATTATATGTCATCTGGATTACGTCCAAAAATGAAGTACTTGTAATTAGATTATATTACATTTTAAAATACTCAAAATCAGATTGCAGTTAGACTCAGAAAGTCTTTACGTTTTATGTACATTCACTCAGAAACCAATCATTAGTCAGGTGGCTATAATTACACAGAAAACTGAGACCCACACATTTCAGATCATTTTGATTTTAAAAAGTGTTTTCTCAGCATTTCATCATCGCATCAACTACTGATGAGCACATTATTGTTTTTTTTAATTATCACTCGGTAAGTAATTTAACCATGTATTATATGTCTTTGGAAGCATTTTGTCTTTCAAATGCATTAAAATGCACAAATTCATGTTATTTCTGGATTTATATGTAATGCATGGAATCACAAACTTTTTTTTGTCAGCCGAATCTTTCACCTAATATATTTACTTGAAATGCCCCTGAGATTTTAGGGTTAATTTAGGGTTGATTTTAGTTAATAATTAGCACATTTTCATGTCCATGGTTCTCTGACGTTGGTTAATGGTTACATGACATGCAGGTAAACAAAATATTCTTTTTTTTAGTAAGTGTACGCACTCACACTCACACACACACACACTCACACTCAGTCTCTCTCACACACACACTCGCACACACACACTCTCACACACTCACACACACACACTCTCACACAC